CCCTCACCCCGCCTGGGCCCCGGCCCCCGGCCCCGCCGCCGCTGCCGCGCTCGCACAGTGACCCGGGCATCGCCACCTCCAGCGACACCGGTGAGTGCCCCGCCCCGCCCCGCAGGTTGGGCAGCTGACGGCTCCTGCTGTGCCCTTCGCGGCGCACCGGTTGCTCAGTGGCCACAGGGGACTTTTCCCCCTTTCGGGACTGGCGATGGAGCCCAGGCCCTTCCTTCACACTGAGCTACACCCCGGCCCTTTATAATTTTATTTTCACTTGGAGACAGGGTCTTGCTAAGTCATCAAACTGCCTCAGGGTCCTCCTGCTTCAGCCTCCCAGTGCTGGGATTACAGGCAGGGTGAGGGTTTGGTGTATGATACCAGCTCCACAGCACCGAGCTTGCGCTGTTTGCCTGTCCGCTCTCTGCAAGCCCTAGTTCCTCACCTGTAAAACAGGAATAATTACAGCGTCTCAACCAAAAGCGCTGCAGTTGCTAGAGGAGCTAGTGCTCCAGAGCCGACGACCCTGAGGTACTGGCTCATCCCACCCCAGCGGCTCAGCAGGCCCGCTGCTGGCCGGCACCTAGACAGCGGTAGCTCCAGGGACGCCCAAACGCTCCTCGCTGGTCACTGCGTGCGGGAGCCGGGAGGCAGTCGCTGTCTCCCCGCCCTGCACCAGCCAGTTGCTGGCAGGCGCAGGCAGACAATGGCGCCTTCATTGGAAACGGGGTGGCGGGGTGCCAGGAGGGCACGCATGTCCAGAGCGGCCCCATCCAGTCCCTGCCGCCCCTCCTCAGCTGACTTCAGGGACCTTTATACCAAAGTGCTTGAGGAAGAAGCTGCCTCCGTTTCCTCTGCAGACACAGGTCAGGCGCGTGGTGGCATCTGGGGTGCAGGGTGGGGCACGGCACAGTCCTTGCGCACCCCACATCTCTGCTCTCTGCAGGGCTGTGCTCTGAAGCCTGCCTCTTCCGCCTGGCCCGCTGCCCGTCCCCCAAGTTGCTCCGCGCCCGCTCAGCTGAGAAACGGCGCCCCGCGCCCACCTTCCACAAGGTCCCCTTGCCCTTGGGCCCTGCGCCTGCCCACTCTCTGGGGGACCTGAAAGGAAGCTGGCCAGGCCGGGGCCTGGTCGCTCGTTTCCTCCAGATCTCCAAGAAGTCGCCAGATCCCACTGGGCCCGGAGCCCATGGACACAAGCAGGTAGGCATTGGGGGAGAGCCTGGAGCTTCAGGCCGGGCCACCCGGTACCGGTACCAGTACCATTCTCTGTGCTCCTTGCAGGTGCCCCGGAGCCCCTGGGGCCGGCCAGGCCGAGAGAGCCTCCACCTCCGCAGCTGTGGCGACCTGAGCTCTGGCTCCTCCCTGCGGCGCCTGCTGTCCAGCCGCCGGCTGGAGCCCACAGCTCGGCCCCACAGCCTCACCCTGGGCCTCGGTGGTGGCAGCCGGGAGACTGGGCTCTGACCTGACCGGGCCTCTGTCACACTGAGCAGCCCCATGGGAGGGCGGGCTGCAGGCGCCAGCGCCTCCTCGCACACAGAGAAACCTGCTGCTGCGTACCTCCAAAGTGCCCCTTTCCCTCCTACCTGTGGGGCCTCTGCCGCTTTCTGCCCCTCTGGACTAGGGCAGCTTCCGTCCTGTGCTCACGGGAGGGAGTTCAGGCCACAGGGGTGACAGCCCCACAGCTGGGAGGCGGAGCAGCAACAGACTCCCCCAGTTTGCGCGTGGCCTTGTGGTTCTCAGGAGCACCTGGACAGGGAAGGGCATGTCCGGGCGTTTAAGTCCAGGCGCCTTTGCACTGTGCAGTGAGGTGGTGAGGCAGGCATGGAGAGTCAGAGAAATCGGGTGGCCTCTCGGCTCTGCCACCTCTACCTGCATGACCTTGGACAAGTTATTTAACCTCATTTGCCTGATCAGTAAAACATTGTGAAGATGAATGTTTGTAAAGCTCTTAACATATTAAGTAAGTCTTCAATAAATTTCAATTTTCCCCTTCTTTCCTGACATTTTTTCTTTCTTTTTTTTTTAATATGGGGGGCTCTACCTGAGGAGCCATGGAGGTGTGGAACTTGCAGTCCTCCTGCCTCAGCCTCCAGAGTAGCTGGGATTTACAGGGGTATTCCACCTCAACTGTCTTCTCTTGGACCTTTTGCTTGTTTGTTTGTTTGTTTGTTTGTTTTCCTGGCAGGGTCTGGCTATGTAGTTCAGATTGGCCTTGAACTCACTGTGTAGCCCAGGCTTTATTCATGGTGATCCTCCTGCCTCAGCCTCCTGAGTGCTAGGATCATGGGGTGCGACACCATTCCCCAGCAGCAATTCTATTTCAAATACACCCATGTTTTACCACCTCCCCTCTATGGTTCTGACCATCACCTCTCCACAACCCCTGAATTGGTCTATTTCCACTCTTCCCCAGCCATCCATTCTACACTCCACAAGTGATGATGGATCATGTTCTGTCAAGGCTCTGCCTACACCAGCTGGCCTCCCATTATAGTTACAATACTGTCCCACCTGGTCCACTCTGATGCCACCAGTCTGCCTCCAGACCCCAGGGCCTTTGCACTTGCCCTTCTCCAAGTTTGAAAAGCTTTACCCTGTGACTGGTGGGTTCACCTAAGTCAGGTCTTAGCTCCACTCTCACTGAGTAAGCACCCAACCCTGTCCCATTCTCCATGGCATTGCTGAGACTTGAACCCAGGGCCTTAGGCACCTAAGACAGGCGTCACAGGCACAGGCCTCCCTTGTTGTGACCACTTAGCACTATTTTTTTTTGGTACCGGGAATCGAACTCAGGACCTTGTGTTTTCGAGGTAGGCAACGGCACCACTGAGCTAAATCCCCAGCCACTTAGCACTATTTATAATGATCTTGGGGCCAGGGATTTAGCTCAGTTCTGCCACCTGCCTCAAAAGTGCAAGGTCCTGGGTTCGATACCTGGTACCAAAAAAAAAAAAAGATCTTGTAGGAACACTGAATTTATGCAATGAAGTGTTACTAGATTCTACAATTGAAAAGCCACCTACGGCCGTTAAAAATAAAATTATCTTGCTTTTTGTTTATATATTTGTGTTGTCCCGTAGAATGTAAGCTCCCAAGAGCAGGGACCTGCTCACTGTGCTGGACCTGACACACAGCAGGGCCGCAACGGACACTGTTAAGTCTCGAACGTGGGAGAGCGGGGATCTTATAAAAAGCTTCAGGACTTGAGCGGGCGTGATGGATCCCTGTACTTGGGAGGCTGAGGCAGGAGGATCACTGAGTTTGGGTCCAGCCTGGGCTACATAGCCAGATCCTGTCTAAAAAGAGAAAAAAGCTTCAGGACTTTCTGATTGTGGCCACCGGGAGGGAACAGGGAGTGGCACTGCCCGGAGATGGCGTCAGCCTGCAAGGCTTCTTGAATAATTCACCATAATAACAATACAGCCTCAGGAAGGGCTGGCGCAGCCCAAATGACTGAATGGGAGAGAGGAGGTGGACACCGGGCTTCCCACTGGGACGGCGCTGGCACTGGATGTGCCCCGTCTTGAAGCCCCCTGAGGAGTCAGATCGGGGATCTGGCTCCGCTTCGGTGGGGTGGAGTCATGGTGGGAATCCAATCCCCCCACCAAGCACCTCCGTGGGGTCCACGGACGCAGTCTTTCCTCGAGCAGATCGCTCCCATTGGGCTACAGCTGCTGAGGGAAAGTTGTTCGTCTCCAAAAGAACCAATGAGAAGTGCAGAAGGGTCCTGAGTTATCCTCTCGGGGCAAACATCAATCTCCTTTTCTGAGAGGCCTGGGCCCGCCCCGGCCGCTGGTTTGCAGCTGCGCAGCTTGGTGCAGCGGGCGCCACCACCCCTGGGCGGGGCTTCCCGCCTCGTCTACTCGCCTTGGCCGGCTGCAGTGGGGTTTCCCATCGCCTCCAGTTGGGGCTGCTGTTTCCCTCCGCCAACAGTAGGAGGAAGGGAGGTTGCGCGCTTTGGTTCTTAACCGCTCCCATCCCTGCGTTTGTGCTCAACCTTTTCATCATCATTGTTATTATTAATTGCAGGGATGGTCTCATTTTACTAATAAAGAAGTGATAAAATCTTCAAGCCCTGTGCACTTCCTCCTTGAGGGGTGGAGGGGGAAGAAGGTTATATAGCTCATACCATCCATCAGTCATTCAACAAACAGCCACTGAGCTCTGGCTCAGTGCCAGGCACTGGCCGGTCCCGGGAATACAGCAGGGAGCCGGGACAGGCTGGTCCCGACCCTACCGGGATGAAGCGTGGGGAGGTCAGTGGCCAACCGAATTAGCAGTCACAGTCTTTAAGAGCTGGGTGCTAGAGCAGAGATTAGATCCTTTGTACATTTGATTGTAACTCTGATCAGAGTGGCAAAAGAAATGAGAGGGCTGTGTGGCTGTGTTACAGGAGCGTGTGTGTGTGTGTGATTGAACCCAGAGCCTTTGCACTGAGCTACATCCCCAGCCACCACAACCTACCTCTTGGGACAGGGTCTAAGTTTCTGAGCTGGGCGGGGGGAGGAGCTGGGCTGAACCTGTAACCCTCCTGCCTCAGCTTCCCAGAATGCTGGGATCACAGGCCTGTACCACTACGCCTACCTTGAAATTATGTTTTTGGCCACTGGCCCCAGTAGAACATAACTGCAATAGGCCAGGGACTTTATCATCGTGTTTGTGGCTGTATCCCAGGATCTTGAAAGGGGCCTTCTGCAGAACAGACACCGGTGCATGTCTGCTCAGCGTGGAGCTGAGCACCTAGCAAGGCTGCCTGACCCTCTGAGGTGCAGGAGAATGGGGTTGATGGCAGCTGGTACGGCTGAGCCTTCCTGATGAGTAGTTATTCTTTTTTTCCAGAGGGAGAAAGAGGCGGGGGTGCAGCTCGGTGGTCGAGTGTGTGCTTAGTTAGCATCCATGTGGCTCTGAGTTCAGTCCCCTAGAGAAAAAGGCAGGAAATGTTGAGGGCAGAGTAGAAGGGACAGCAGGGACGAGATGCAGTGTGGTCTCAGAGAGGAGGTGACTGGACCCTGTGGCACAAGTGGAAGGCGAGCAAAAGAGCTGAGTCCAGGATGGGATACCAGGTCCACAACCCTCTCTGCAGCAGTGTGGGGCGAAGGGTTAAAAGTGAGAGTAGTAGCTTCAGAATTTGGGTTTTAGTTGGATAATTCAGTAATTCTTTTTCTTTCTTTTCTGTGTGTGCACGTGTGGTGTGTGCACGCTGGGGATCAAACCTAGGGCTGCACACATGCTAGGCACATGCTGTACCACTGAGCAACACCCCAGCCCCTCAGAGAGCACCTCGGGGAAAGGGTAAGGGGGAATAATGAGAAGGAGGTGTGGGGAGCAGGCAGTCAGGGTGAGCTGGTCCTGGAGGGAGGGATTGGGATGGGGGGACCAGGGGTGGTGTTGGAGGGGAGCAGCTTTGGCTGGGGGAACCCTGATCACCTCACGGGCTCCGGCAGAGAAGCCTGAGATGCCCAGGAGTGGTCTGAGGGCAGACTTCTTAGTTTTTTGTGTTTTGTTTTTTTTGGTACCGGGAATCGAACTCGGGACCTTGCGCTTTTGAGGCAGGGGCCAGAACTACTGAGCTAAATCCCCGGCCCCCTAGCAGACTTCTTGTAAGATCAGTCAGGATCTCTGTAAATTGTCAGGTTGGGGGCCGGGGATTTAGCTCAGTGGTTTTGCTGACTGCTGTGAAAGCGCAAGGACCCAAGTTCAATTCCCAGTACTAAAAAAAAAAAATTGTCAGGCTGGCCTCAAATTTTTTTTTTTCTTTTCTGTACTGGGGATGGAACCCAGGACCTTCACACTGAGCTATATTCCCTAGCCCTTTTTAGTTTTATTATTAAAAAATTGCTGAACTGGCCAGGCTGGGCTTGAACTTGCAATCCTCCTCCTTCAGCCTTCTAGAATGCAGGGATTACAAGCACGCACCACCACACCTGGCCAGATTGGGCTCAATTTTTTCATCCTGCCGTAGTCTCTTTCTGTCTGGGATTACAGGCCTGTACCACCATGCCTAGCTTCCTTTTTTCTTTTTGTGCTGTATGGGACATTGAATCCAGGGCAAGTCCTCCACCACTGAGCTACATTCTCTAGCCCTAGCTAAATCTTGAAAGTGCTGTTTGCGGCCACCAGGTAGGAAGCCCCTGGTGGGCCCTGCAGTGAGACCTATGTAGATGTTTGGTGGGAAGCGCCCCCTAGGGGACATTTTAGAAATTGGCCAGAGTGTCCTCCGTGGAGGCGGTGGTTAGGCAAACTCAGAACTGAACGATGGGAAAGAACAAAGAAGAAAAAGACAAAGTTACAACAGATTTGCTTCTAGATATAACTGGAGTTTTTCTGAGACAGGGTCTCACCAGCAGTTCAGACTGACCTTGAACTCACTATGTAGCCCAGGCTGGCTTTGAACTCCTGGGGATCCTCCTGCCTCAGCCTCCTGAGTGCAGGAATTACAGGCATGTGCTCCCACTCCTGGTTCTAATTCGCTTTTATTGTGATTCATGAGTCATGGCAGCCTTGGTCTACATAAGAGAATATGCCTCTCTAGGCAATTGCTCATCATCTGGGTTCCACCCCAGCCTGGACAATTTATTTATTTATTTTTGACTTTTTGAGACAGGGTCTCACTACATAGTTCAGCCTGGCCTTGAACTCTCACTATGTACTTCTTTTTTTTTTTTTTTTTTTTTGATACCAGCAATCAAACTCAGGACCTTGCACTTGCGAGGCAGGTGGCAGAACCACTGAGCTAAATCCCCGGCCCTGAGCTCTCACTATGTACCCCAGGCTGGTCTTGAACTTGTGTCCATCCTCCTGCTTCAGTCTCCCCAGTGCTGGAATCACAGGTGTATGCCACCCGGCCTGGCAAACCTGGGCAATATAGAGACTTTGTGAGACCCTGTCTGAAAATGAAAAAAAAAACAAAAAACCAACGTGTAAAAAAGGCCTTGGGTTCAATCCCCTGCCCTGAAAATGGAGAGAGGGTAAGGAGAAGTAGCAAACCAGGCACTGTGGCT